CTAATGTTCAGTAAAAAGTCCAGTAAAAAAAATTTACACTTTGACCTGCTGTCACGAAAAAATGTAGTGAATATAATGATGTTTTGACAAGTAAATGCTTTTTTATGCGTTTTCGTTTCTATGAAAATATTGAATTACTAAGAAAAGTTGAAAAAATAAAAAAGGGAATAAAATCTAATATTAACTGATAAAAGGAAAAACCAGTCTCAAGCTTTCTTTTTTTTTTTGTTATTCCCTTGATTTGTTTTTAAAGAGACCCCTTGTCCACTACTTCTGTTCCTTCCCCCCCTCCCTTTTCCCCTCTTCGCCCTCATCCATTTTCTACTCCGTCTTTCATACAAACTGTCAATGTGCTGTCGTGTGGAAGGAGCTGAGCTATTTTCTTCCCTCTCTCCTATTCTCTCAGTCTCCTTGAGAAAGTAAGGTGTGAAAGGAGCTGATTATTGGATGGCACTCAAGCTGCTTTCTTGTCTCCCGATCTCTCCGTCTACCTTGCTCTCTTGCCTTTCATTGCCGATTCATTTTTTGGCCCCTCTGTCTCTCACACATACCTCTTCCTCTTCTATCATTTAATTTCATCAGAGAATGGCCGCTGGTGAAGATACTTTTCTTTTTTCCCTTTGCTTCTCCACACTTTTGAGTGCCTTCTCGGCTATTGTGTCCTGCTAAAAGACTCATTACTGGCCTTCCCCTTCTGTGAAAAGTGCTGTTTCTGTGAATGAAGGGCTGACAGACAGCGGTGGAGGGCGAGGGAGGGAAGGGCAGGTGAGGGACAGTGCGTGGAGGTGGTGGTGGTGTGGAGACTTTTACACAAAGCTACCCATAAAATTCACTTAAAAAAGATCCCTCTATTGATTTTCATAAGCTGTTTTCGTCGAATCAAACACAAACACCTTGGCTCTAATGTGTGCTTTCACACATGGAGAGTAAAAAAAATAGTTTTAGGATGAAAATAAATAAAGTAATGAATCATGTCATGTCTGAAATTAATTTTAAACTCTGCCTTAATTGTAAAGTAAAATGTAAAGTCCATGTGCAGCTAAAATGTGGACGTTTTATTAGAAGTTGACCATTTATTCTGGTTCAAATAAAAGTACTGAATTAAAACATTTGACTTCACATAATATTGTATGACGCTTGTACAACTCCAGTCTATGTGCAAGGGTCGTCAGGAGCTATGGTAGTTAAAGTGCATTCATTCTTTATATATATATATTCAATTTTAACCTTGGAGCCATCTATTTTGTGTCTGCACAAGGGTTTACACTTTATTTTCATGAATAAATATTTTCTTGTTATTTTCCTTTTTCCTAGACCTTTTGGACCAACTTTACAATCTTTTATCCCTTTCCTAAAGATTGTGAAGAAGCGTGGACATTCAGCAGGGGTCCATTAGTGTTTACTATTAACAGTTTAGGAATATACGTATTTGTCAACAATGAGGCTCAATACATGGTAATGGCTAAAAGGTGTCATTAAAGTTAAAATCAACCCTTTGAAATCAAGACATTGAATTCGGTCAAATATATCTTCACAGTTGTCTTCCTGTAATGTACTTTCACTTACAGCACCACAAGTACTGTACGACTTCTCAGACCTACCATGCTGGGGCTGCAGCACCAAACACATCCTAGTTGAGCTGCACTGGGAAAACTACCATCTCACCATCAGATCACAATAACCATGTCCTCGTTGTTCATCCATCCATCCATCCATAATACCGGCTCAGCCTGTCTATATATTCAAACAGCCCTGCATCTATTCATCTGCTCATCCATCAGCATTGAACATCAGAGCCATCATGTTTCACATCCATGCATCTATCTGTCCATTTCCAGGTCCATCCATTCCCAGCCATGCACACGCCATCACATGACATTCCATAAATCCATCCATCCTGTCATATTTCTTCATTTGCACACGTCAGCGGAGGTGGATGCTGGTGTGGAATCATGTCTATACCATAAATTAATATTACACACCAAACCTATCCAATCACATGCTCTTAAACTAATCTTTGTTTCTTTTCAATTTCTTCCTCAGTGCTGCTTTGTGTCTTACAAAAAAAAAAAGACTCTTCTCCAATGTCTGTCTTTATTCTGTTTTTCTCTCATTCTTCACTAAAAAGCCAGTAATTACAGACCCCGACTGTCATGCATGGAGAAGGTAGGGGGAGGAGGGGAGTTTTTATCTGCCTTTCCTTAATCATGCATTCATCTCACACATACACATTCAGCTCAGTGTGTGGTGGACCCATGCAGAGACTCATAGAAAATAGATGGTCTTCAAATATGTATAGGCCAGCCACTGGTTTCATGTGTGTGTGATAGTGAGTTAGAGGAGGGAGGGGGGTCTGGAGGGGGGGCAATACTTATGTCAGGTTGTGCAGGATGAATGTGTGCTGTATATGTTTAATCAGACTTGTCCATTTATTATATTGGAAGCCCAAGGCTGTCAAATAAATCACACGTACAAAGTTATAGTGAAAAGTGTGTCTGTAATATATACAAATATTAATGTGTTTTCCAACCATTAGCTGACTTATCTTACAGTCCCAGTGCCACGCTGCGCCAGTATCGCCCTGCATCAGTGCTGCTCATTGAAATTATTTCATATTACAATGTAGTACAATGCACATATATACGGCAGAGCTGAGAAGTGTCGTCGTTCTGCCTGCACTCTTTTATCATCCTACCTTTTCTACATTTCTCTCCCTGCGGCTCATTTATTGTTTTATTATCCTTTATTTTATTAGGTTTCACAGTTTCCTTCAACCTCCGAGGAGCCAGATTGACCTGCCGTACAGTTTTGTTCTAACAAACCTCATCCTGGCCGTAAAAAGACACACACACAACTTTTCAGCTGACAGTTTCTGATACAAAAAACAAAAAAAACAAAAAAATACTGAAGGCAGCGCTCACAACGAAAGACAAAGTGTTTTTCTTTTTTCCCTCTCTCATCTCTTCTGTCAAGCTTTCGACAGAAATTCTCATCTTCAGCAGGTCAAGTTCTCCTCAAACCGCTCCTGAGACACATTCAGATTCTAAGAACAATGTCGGAAAAAAGTATTCTCAGGCGCGGGAGTGGAAGAAGTGTCTGAATTTGTCAAAGTGCATGTCAGTGTGTCGATAACAGCATTTTGGGTCGAAACTCACGGACTGCCGAGAGAATATATGACCTTGGCATGTTGCATGAGGAAGTCTGTTTCAAGAGTATGTGATGGGGAATGGGAATACAGTACGTGTGTGTGTGTGCCTGCAGACTTTATGAGGTAACTACTTTCACAGGGTCTACTCCCCGTGGCTGAAACTTTTCACCGCTGAGTGACATGTTCTTTGGCCCCCTGAAAACCTTTCCTATTCCCTTTTTATCTCCTCCTCTGTCAAACACTTCTGTCACTCTACATGCTTTCCTCTTCATCTCTCTCTCTCTTTTCTCCCTCCCTCTCTCTCTCTCTCTTTCTCTTCCCCTCCTTCTCTGTCTGGCAGTAAAGGCTGATGAAGTGTGAAATTAGAAAGTGTATCATATTCTGCTCTGTGGCTCCATGTCCTGAGCTTTAAGCTACAGCTAGTCAGAGTGAAAAATAACATGCAGTGAAACAGATACATTAATGCGGTGAACTTGTGTGTGTGTGTGTGTCCCTGCACTTGCAATGGGTTGGAAGGAAAGAAGGAAGAAAGGAAGGGAGGAAGGGAGGAAGAGGGCAGTTTAGCCCGCCGCTGCTTATCTTAAATTACTTATCGCACGCGTGATACTCTGGTGCTTTTTCACTAACCGCGAAGGCAACGATGGATTAAAAATGAGGATCCACGCACACACGTGCACGCACAAACACACAATCATACCTCGGTTACTTCCTATTTGCTGACATTACAAAAAAAATGACTACAAACTGTTTAAAACACAGCACTAATAAAAAAGTTTTTTTCCCCTTGAAAATTACTTTTACTGCTTAAAAATGCAATACAATCTATCATCTATGTATTAGCATTACATTTGAATTTCATCAGACAAAGATGAAAAGCCTCGCAAACACCAGGTACTGCTGCACAGTTGCAGAAAAAATGATTTGTAAATCCCAACTTAAATATATTGTAGTGTTTGAGTCAAGATGTGTAAAATTGTAAATAAGGATGGTATGAATACTAATACTCTTCTGCCTTATGTAGTTAATTAAATAACTATTAATTAACTACCTTATTGAAGTATACCTTCATAACAAAGCCAGTAAATCTGTGTATCGCATGATAGTGATATTTGATATTCAACTTTGCAAGTATCATAAAAAATTGCTCGGGTTCATGTGAGCGCTGCAGCAATCTTACAGCCAGTAAATGTTAAAAAAAAATTACATTATGCCCAAGGCAGTAGTTAGAATATTGTTTGCAGTACTATATGTGGCATGTAGAAACGTACTTCATTAATAATCCTCTGAGGGAAAACTTAAACTGTACATATGTTCCTATATTACATGCTTAACGTTAATATTTGTTTCTGTATTATTACATTCAGACGTGTCGGGTGACATGTTTCATTACAAATACACAGGAAAGCCTCACATTTACTCCAGTAAACTGTAAGGCCTGAGAAGAAAGAAATTATTAGTAGTAAGAAAAGAAAATTAGTATTTTCTTAATGATCTATTATCTGCCTCTTTAACCAGAGATTATCATTTTCCTTCATACTAACCAGAGGCTAGTTACTAGACTGGACTAGGCTACAGTTCCTTTTTCCTAATGAAATTGTTGAAAGAAAGATAATAACATGGTGTTTCAATTTCAATTCCTGACTGACATCTAATCAACTCTTCTTTTCATATTCACTGTGTTCTTACAGTATACACAGGTGGTTTTTCAATTCCTGACTGACATCTAACCAACTCTTCTTTTCATATTCATTTTACACTGCTCAAATTGTTATTGTGCTGCTGTGTTCTTACAGTATACACAGGTGGTAGACTCTCAGCCACCTGCTGGACGTCGTTAAATTGGAGTGTTTACCTGCACCAGGCCGGACACCTCTCCTTTCTGAAGCGGAGCAGCGATGGAGGGCGTGAAGAGCTTGCCGTCGTCCACTGGACGTCCTCTCATGAAGTGTTTCCCAGCTTCGTATATGTCCACCTCAATCATTTTACCTTTGAACTCCGGTCTCTTTGGAACCAGCACCTGTGAACCAGGAACAGAATCAAAGCTGATGTGGAAACAAACTCAAAATAAGTCATTAAGTAAAGGCCACCAACAGCTGTGAGACCAACCAGGTAAGGATTGTGTTATTGTTTCACCATGGCAACCATAAGTCATGATGAATCACAGGAGGCAGGAGAACAAGTACAGTGGTATAATTAAAGCTAAGTGTGAGGTAGAATCAGTTCTTAATGACTGATTCCTGTAAATACAGGCACCTTGTTTGATTGACTTCACTTCTATAACTGCTGTCAATGAGAGGAGGTGATGTTGTTTTGATAGGATTTAAAAATGCAATTATCAGAGTTGGTATAGAATATGACACATTTGTTACAAAACCAAACAGACACACAATTGGAACCAACACAAAAATCTCTCATCATTTGTTTCCCTTTTATTTGGAACATTGAAAACTGATGACAACCTTTGTGGTGGAAATTATTTTGGTAAAATACCAAAAAGTAAAAGACACCAGGAAAAGTAGTTGTTTTTATTCATTTAGTTTTTTTTTTTTGTTTTTTTTTTAGGATTTTCAAAAAAATTATTATTAGTAGGCCGATAAAAATTGAAAAATTTTTTTTTCTGAATTTCAAACATAAAAAACATATAGCTACACATTATTAGGCAAATCAGTGAATTTTTATTCATTTTTATGAATTATTTATTTTTAAACTTTTTCAGAAAACTAATATTGTATTTATGTGTTCACATTCCAAAATTATTATAGGATATTATTATTTTCTATTATTATCATTTTGAGTAAGTGTTTAGATATCTAATAATGTAAATGAATGTTATGTAACAGCTGTCCTCCTACAGTATTAAGGGGATGAGGCCGAGAGACTTTTTTGTTTGGTACCTGAGACACATCTACCAAATTTACGTGGCTAAATGAATTACTCTGAGGTCACTGCTTTGTACTGTTTAATGCTCATCGACAACAAAGCCATAGCATCAGGGATTTCATCACTACAGAATGTTGGACTCTTGAAAGAGAAAAGTGTTTTTATCAAAGAGACTTCTTTGACGTCATCCATCTGTCCATCACCGTTATTGTCCTTCACAGACGCAGACCCTGAATATGTTAATTAAATGATTACCCTGTAGGTAAATTCTCTTCTGTTTCCCTATACTGCCTACAGGCAGATCAGATGTTGTCATCAACAGAAGCTGCGGACTCATTATCACGTCCAGGTTCACGTCTGTGGACTGCATGCTGACTCAGATCATCTGGCCGTCTGTCTACCTATTATAGGACACCGTGGGGATAAGCCACTGACTCTGCAGAGACTAGCATGTGAGCTGGTGCAGGGAGAAACGACTGCTGTGATGGCAGCGCTACACCTGGTCCACTGTTAATCTGTCAGTCTTTATCCAGCTGGTAGAATATGAGAGGAGATGGAGAGCCGGGTCGTATGGACACGCGGCGAGAAACACACCTGCCTCATCAACACACCTGCTGCTCGACACTCTGACCACTGAGAGCGCAAGACTGTGTGTGTGTGTGTGTGGAAATGTGTGTATGAGGCAACACGACTGGACTTCAGATTTAAAACAGCACCGTGTAAATGTTTGTGTGGAGCATTCGTGTGTGTGTGGGGGGGGTGCAGAGGGGGTTCATTTGAGGCCTATTACAGAGTGATAAAATGATGAAAGACCATGTCCTATTACAATGGACCCCTCCTAGCTCACTCACTCACACACACACTCTCTGACACACACACACACACACACACACCAGCCTGCCAGGTGCCCATTATACCCGTCAGGAAAGATATCCATCTGAAACTGGGCCATTTGTTCCCACTCACACCTCATTCCCTGCATCTCCTCCTTCCATCCTCTCCTTCTCCTCCACCTCCTTCTTTACTTTTCTTCTCTTTCCACTTCTTTCCTGACCTTTGACTTCCCCTTCTTTTAACTCCTCAGAGTCACCTTCCTGTCATGCCTACAGCCTTCTTCTTCTTCTGGTTCTTCTTCTACTCCTTCTTTAATACACTTTTGACTATGCTTAAATTCATTTTTTTCCATCACTTGCAACATTTAAAACTTAAAAAATAAGGGGCAAACACACAACAGACTCCTGTCTCTGGTTTCAAACCTTTCGGTGTAATTACCATTTGAATGAGACACAAACATGCTGCTAGGCAGGACCACTGTGTATAAAACCTTGAGGTTTATGTACTCTGAGTGTACGGTGTCATGGGTGTAGATATAGAGTATATAGGTGACGTTCCCCTGGAGGGAAGACTGGAGATGGTAGGGGCTCGGTTTGTTTTTTTTTTCTTTTTCCTCTGAGTCAGATTTTGATTTAGGAGCACACGTCAAATATTTAATGTTCAACAAAAAAATGTGGAAGAGAAAACACAGAGCACAGTCAGCCAGAGTGAGGGCAACTGACATATGGCACGCATGTTCCAATATGCTCAAATGTGCACACTCCTACAACATACATGAACCGGGTGACACTTGTAACAAAGTTTATAGCCTGAAGAAGGAGGTGCAAAGGAGGAGAAAAGGGGAGGAGAGGAGAGTAGGAAGGAGGTAAAATTATTACCATGCCGTGCCCTCGCCACTAATAAAAAAGCATAACTTCAAACATGTTTTTGATGATAGTTAAAGCAGGAGGAAATTGATTTATTTGAAGATGTTTTAAAGTGAATTTTTCACAGGTTGAGAGAGGTTCTTTGAAGCCATGCATGACTGCGTGTGTGTGTGTGTGTGTAAGAGTGTTTCAAACGGTAGAATGTTCATGTCTTTAGGGTTTTAGGACTGACCTTAATGCTACTAGGTGGAAAAAAAAAGCGAAACACATCGCTGTAATCAGCTGCCAAACATGTCTGTGTGTGTGTGCGTTATATCACAGCTAACCTACTTTCGTCAACACATCTTAAGCTCCTGACACCTGCTGTGAGTAAAGCTTCTGGTCTGATTTTGTAAGTGTGAAAAATGAGGAAGAGTTGGATCAGCTTCACAGAAATTAATCATCAAATCATCAGATTCATTTACTGCCTCGCTACTGTATCTCTGGCTGCTGTGGGACGGAATCTGTCGAGCAAATTAAACATTTTAGGATTCACCCAATGTGGGATGTGTGACTAAAAGCACGAGCAGTCAGAACAACACGAGGAGAACTTCAGGTTTAACTTGTTATAGAAACAGTCAATAGAAAGGATGTCACACAAAAGCCAGTGCTCCTCTGTTAGGATATATAAGGCTTGACTTTTCTATTGAGAAAATCCAGATTCATTTTGTCATCACACCTGAACACACCTGATCTCTGATCAATACTGAGGGAGTATAAGCTGCATTTACATGGTAAAAACAAACAATCACTGAATCAAACATTCAACAAATATCTTACCTGTTCATAGAACTTGTTGTGAGCCACGTAATACTGAGCATCAAACGACTCCTCTGTCACCAGCACATGCTGCCTCTCCCCGACCTACACGCACACAGAACACAGAGAAACAAAGGTCATTGCCAAACTTTTTCAAAACACTAACACGCTACTAAAAGCACTTGTTTGTACAATTTCTTCTTTCAAATTTCATCTTCAAAATGTTCAGTCCATAAGGTTAGGGTTGATGCACACATTTTCAGTTCTTTTTCCAAAGTCCACGTGCACAGAACCGTACCTCATTCTTAGACCTTAATTTGTGTGTTAAAAATGAAAATGTCTGTGTCATCTTCAGCTTTAAATCAACACAAGGAACCTTCCTCGGGTACAAAGTAAGTATGCCTCTATTCATCAAGATCCAAATTCAATCAAAGTTCTACTCCAGTATGTTTTTATTTCATGTTTTCTGTCCCTGCAGTTCAACATTTAATTGCAATCTCAAGGTTTCTGCGCCACTTCACTTTTAATGCTTTGACAGAGAAGATAGAGCCGACTATTCAACTCTTTTAGTTCCTTACAAAAAGGAAAAACTGAATAAAAAGGAGCAAAAAATAAATAAATAAAAAAACATACAAGGCTATCCAGGATACAAATCAGCAAAGGCTCACAGAAAAAAAGTCTATTCAGAGCTTCCAAAAATCACATACAACAATAAAGATCCCCAATTAAGAAATGTGGTATTGGACATAATGATGGGAGGAATGTATTCGGTTGAAGAGCACTGTCGATTCAGATGATTAAAGTCGGAAATAAAACAGGTCAAAAACAAATAATCACAGATACACTTACTTTATTCAAGTATTCTGTAAATAGACAAGGTTAATGGTTGGATGTTTGTGTGGTTAATAATGTTGCATCACTGTACACTGGCCATGATAGAATTTATTTTATACAAAACAATACGATTAAATAAACTTAAATGTTTCAAAATGTTGTCAATATTTTTTTAATTTTTTTTTAGCCGAAACAGAACCTGCGGACTAAATCTGTGTGTGTGTGTAGGCCACAGATATCTTTGTAGCCTTTCAAAGCAATGGCCTTGTTGTTCAAGACACAGTTTATAAAAAGTTTAAAAACTAAACAGCAACCTGCTGGATGTTAAAGACAAAAAAAAAGAAAAAAGAAAATGTAGAACTGGCACGAATGCACAGATGAAAATGTGGGCTAGTGTGTCCTGTGGGTTCAATGAGCAATATTTAATTTCAACTGTCAGTAATGAGCTCTGTGCTGTAAAAGCGTGCTGACTGCTCATTTCCTCGGCAGTATGTCAGAGCCTTAGAAGTCCTGGCTCTGACACGTTGCTTCCATTTTTGCAGACACCCATCTCCTGTGCTTTTTTCCCCCCTCCTTCCTATCCTTCTGCTCCCATCCCTGCCTCCCATCTCTGGGCCTCTTTGTTGTTCCTGCGCCTTTCCCTCCTCACTCCTAGTCCTTCTCATCGCTCTGTCTTAGTGATTCTACATGTGCGAGTTCCCGCACCTGCACAGGCATGCTGTCAGACTTTAAAAGACACCAAATAAATCAACTGTTTCCTGCAAACCGAGCAATTTTCTGTGTTAAAAACAAAAAAAAACATGGAAGCAGAGGGCGGAACAAAATATCGTTTGAACGTTATTACTGTTTGGTGAACATTTGATCTGGGCTTTTGTTTGGATTAAAGACATGTGTCCACACTGTGAGCCTAATGCTATTCACGGAACAACAACAACAACAAAGAAATGAATAAAAAAAACAATCTGACTACAAAGAAAAGACAAAATAAAAGTTGTTTTTCTTCTAAAAATGCAGCAAAATACAAAGAGTGACCTTTAAATGTGTCCTCAAAAAATCTCTTTGTGCTGGTTTAGTTTTCACAGCAAGCGTTGGTGCTCGACCATTGTTTCCCAAAGACTGGGTCGCAACCCTCAGGTGGGTCGCAAGAGATTTTTTTTAGGTCATCTCGCATCATGTTTCCCATGAATTTTCAAATAATATCTATTGATGTGGGTCACGAAGGTTTTTGACTTTTAAAATATAGGTCCCCAGAAAAAAAGTTTGGGAAACACTGTGCTAGACCACTGAGTCAGTGAATTCTAGAAATGATGAAATAGTCCAGATCTAAACCAAAACAACTAGCGATGATCCAGATACTGGAGATGAAGCCGTTGGATATTGAAGCTCCAACAAAGACAATAACCTCGAGGTTCTTCCTTTGTTGGACGGAGGACGCTGTAATATACATTTTGGTCTTGGCTCCTGTGGTTTCCTGTCTTTCATGTAAGACTCTGCATTTACACCCGTATTCAGTCCATCTGTTGAAAAACATCACAGAGCCTGTTTGTGTTTGTGCAAAGTGAGATGTGTATTTACTTCACCCTGCAGTGAGTAACATCCCATGATGCAGCACTGATCCACCACAAATCTGCGGGGATCAGGAGTTTAATTGGTAATTAATCCGCATCATAACAAGGATAATGAGTGAAATGTGGCTTTGAATTGTAATAAGCCTTTTTTTTTTACAAAAAAGGAACCTCTAAATCTAATATTAGGGAACATCAAAAATAACTTTTTTGAATCTGCTGCTTTCCCTCCACGTTTGTGTGCACTGGCTCCTGAACTAATGCAAATTAACTATTGCATCTGCAGATGGAGGTTTTTCAATCTGAATGAACAAATCCAAGTGCAAAGACGTAAAAACAACCCACCTTGCTGATCACAACATGTATGTGTCAATTTAGCAATCAGCAGCTAATCCCATCAGTCAGTCAGTGTGATCAAAGTGTATTTGCTGCACTACCGTATTGACTAAAATAGGCGTCGATACGAGGTGTGAAAGTGGTACTAGTAGGTAGTTAAAAATTGTCACTGTGTCCTGTATAAAAAGGAAGCAATAACAGCAAATGTTTCAATTCATTCAAATTAATCCACTAATTAATAGTGATTTTACTATGATTGCAGTTTAAAGAACTAATTCTCATGTTTTTCTGGAAACCTCATGTCTACGTTGCCAAACTTCTCTGTGATGTAACAGTAAAACAGCAGTGATATAGAGACAATATCACTGTGAAAATCTTACATCATTACAAGATGACTGTAACTTAGTCTACTTTGTTGTGATCTTATTTTTTTTAATAAAGAAATAGTTTGTCACAAATTAAAGTAATAAAAAGCCTTTGAAGCAGCAGAGGCTCTTTTGTTTTTTTTTTGTTTTGTTTTGTATTTCACTACAATCTACATTAGAGTGCTTTAATGTTTGCTCCAGAACACAGTGGTTCACAACATTTCATCATTTGTCCAATTTACCACAGTGCCTGACAAACACGCCGCTGTGTCTAAACTTCACCCCCCGCTGTCAAACACTGGCTCGTGGGCTTGAACAGCACAGCAGAAGTTCATTTTCCACTCTCACATTTATGCCTTACTCACTCTTACTCTTTTTTATCGTTTATTACTCATCCGCCTCATCGTGTATAAACACACCAAAGGTGTTGACACACAAACATGCACGAACAGCCTGCTGTTGTTACGTTGGCTTCTCAGTAATTGTTGTGGGGGAGGAAGGGAGGCCGGGGTGGGGGGTGATTTAATGGGGCTAAAGAGAGATGCTCTGATCTTTTGTGGGATCTCTTTGAATAAGCTGCTTGAAAGAAGAACAGAATTCAACTCCCGCTGCTTTGGGTATTTTGTTTTACCCTCAAACTCAAATTCAAAGAAAGAAAATGGGAAAAAAAAAGGAGTGAAACTTTTCAACGTTAGCCACAAAGACTGATGGGATTACAAGTGACTTCGCTTAAACGTTTGAGGGGATGAATGTAAAATCAGCCCCTGAAAGTTATCCAAGGCCAGAGCATAATTAACTTCCACTGATTAATACACAGGCGACACGAGGACAAAAAAAAA